ACACTAACTACTGTTGATATATATGATACATATGAGTGATATATTCACCGGCAGAGGATAAGTATGGCTCTTTATCTCTCCTCTTTCCTATTACTTGTTTCACTTCTGTTTCAGTTTTTATAACCATTTCTTGCTATGTGTAAGTAAGTATATTGTTGTTTAGCATGTGTGTTTGGCTCAGTGTTATTTTTTAGGATTACTGATAAACTATCGTTTGATCTGTATTATTTGTATTTGTTATTTATTTTAATTTTAGTTACATTATGTCTGAATTTATTATGTCTGTATAGGTCTTTTAGTAAGGGTTAGTTTTATTTAATTTGAGTTATTTGAATACTTCAACAAACTAAATGGAAATGAAATAATAACACACACACACACACCAGACTCAAGCACAGACACACGGAGGTGAGGCACACACACACACACACACACCAGACTCCAGCAGAGACAGACACACACACACACACCAGACTCAAGCACACACACACAGGGTGTGTTAGGATTAATAAAACAACACTGCAATTATTGTTTTTCACTGTAGCCTACAGAAATATCAACCCGTTATAATGGCTCTTCACATTATTTTGTACGTCCCGTGTATATTTAGTACAATGGGGTTCAGCAAACATTTGGCAATCCCTCCACTAAATGATCTCGCACTCTTCTATAATGTGTTATGAGAATATGTCTGACAGACTCCAGTGCTCCTCACAGACGAAACACAGGGCAGCAGACTTCGAGAGGTTTGTGGAGGAGAACGAGGTGAAACGCCGCCGTGCGCTGAAGAGATTCCAGATGGAGAGACAGCAGAATGAAGTGAAGGAAGAGGAGAAAGCTGAACTCTCCAAACAACTCCAGGACTTACAAGCCAGGTAACTAGCCTCAGACCGGTGACAGTCCACCCGTTTACTGATTACTGCTGCTACGAGTACACAATAAACTCCACCAAATACCATAAAAACACCTTAAACCAAAGCTATTCCCTTTCTGAAGTGTTATAGTGCAGATGTGTGTTACTCATGATCTGCTTTCTCTGTTCAACAGGCGCTTGTATTTACAAGAGCGAGTGAACAAATACAAGAAATTCGAGGAGTTTCTGATGAAGACTCTTGATTTACTTCCAGACAGTAAGAGCATCTGAACACAAAGACTCGTCAGGGCTTTTCTCTGCAGTCTTAAGCTCTGTCCCAATTCACCTACTTATACTATGCCCTAAAAGCATGTACTCTTTTGGTGAAGAAACGTACATACTCAAGTGTGTAGCAGAATAGCAGGCAAGCTTTGGGACGTTCTTCTTCATCATATCTCTGTTGCTTAGTTACGAGCATCCTGTCACGGTTTAAACTGGCCTGTCAATCATCTCGTCAGTTAACATCCTCCTCGTTTCCTTTAGTTTAATGTCCTGCTGTACTGGAGAGGAATGAAGAGGCACGCGTCTATCATGCTGAGAACTCATTATCTTTATAAAAGTTCAGTGTTGTTACAGACCAAATATAACGCAGTTAACATTAAATACATATTTTTCATCAGGTTAGATATTATCACTCAAACCCCTTTCTCTACCTGTCCGCCTGTCTCACATATCTGCCTTGTTTGTAGTTTAACACTTTTTATATGTGATTTGCTAATCGAATCCTCGTCCACCGCGCGGTGTTGTGGGCAATATTAGCCGTTAGTGTGCACGGATCTGCTGCACTTTGAATCTCTGCCGGAAGAGTAAACCATCCGGGCACCTGTGGCATACTCATGTCAACATACTATGATTTGGGACACAGTAAGTCTAATTTGGAGTATTTAGGACGGCTAGTACGTGCACCGTGTCGCAGCATCAGTCTGCTCTGTGTTGTAGAGTATGTGGGCTACAGCACAGACCTGGTGACGCCGATCATCAGACGCTACGAGACGCTCACCATCAGCCGACAGGACCTCCTGCAGCAGTTATCCAGCCTGACGGAGCAGATGAAGGCCACCCAGAACAGCCTGGAGTCCCGCAGACTGGAGCACAGCACCTTCAAACTGGTACGTGATTCACTCAGCTTCAGAAGAGCTCGAGACATTCAGACTGAAGCTTGTTGCTTGGGCTCTTTCCCACTGAGAATGGGCAACAGATGTGTCTGGGTACTTTAGATCGGTCGAGGCGCTGCGTCTCACCTGGTTGCCCAGAAGCAGCTTCTCCAACAGTTTCCCGTGTATCACAGGCGTAACTGATGTGTGATGTGTTTCTGTGGCAGATGACAAACCAGGAGCTGTCCGAGCGGCAGACACAGCTGGATCAACTGAAAGAGAAGAACAAACAGCTGGAGATGATGCTCCACATGCACCTGAGCCAGTCCAGAGACCAGGTGTGCTGGAAACATCACCGCACTAAACACTAGATCAGTGCGACGCGTATACAGTTACAGGTTTTGAAGAGTCTTAACAGCATGTTGTCAGAGTCTGAATCACATGCTCTTCATTCACTTCTCGTCCAGTTGAACCGCTGTCCCATCTAAACACACGAGTTTCCTCGCCTCCAGGCGTTTAAGCAGGGATGGTTTAGTCTTCCTTCCTGCTCGTCGTTGTGATGTAAATCTGGAGGTTCGTGTGTGATGCTGTGATTGGTGTGTGGTAGGTGGAGGAGGACGGGAACATCTTGATGGCGGTGCAGAGCCTCGCGGAGCAGTGCTACCTGAGTCACTACAGCGCTCTAGACCTCATGGACACATCCACCATGATGGACATGATAAAGGTGACTGATCAGAGTTATACAGCACATGATCAGAAACTCAGTCAAGAGCGCGTTTCTCTTTCCTCTCCTGCTTTCAAAGGAATTCATCGTGGAGAAAGCCGACATGGAGAGGAGAGCCATGAGACTCATGGCCAGCAGCGGAGCGACTGTGAAGAGAAGGACACCGAAGAAGAGCTCGTCCAGCAGAAGCGGAGCGCAGACGCTGCTGTAGATCAGTCCGTCTCAATCCAGCCAGACCCCGAGAGCGGGCTCAGCACATCTGCTTACAGCAACATTTCTCATCACACACACTCCTGTTTATGGAGCGTGAGTCTGGATCAACAAGAGATTAAACTCAAGACATGCATTAAAGACATGATCAAACACTTCTGTTCAAATGTTTTTATTCAACTTGAAAATAACTGGTTTATCAGTAATTCTGTGAAATCATTTCAAAAATTATTTCATAAACACAGTGTGACGTTTCAGTTCAATCTGAAGCTCATTTTTACAAGTTTTTCAAGTTAACTTCAGCCTTTGACCATCAGCAGAAGAAAATCAAACGACATGAGAGTAAAAGCTCTGGGGGAAATGCACACGTAGAAAAACTGGCAGATTTAACACTAAACAAGTCATTAAAATGTAGAAAAATTAGGGAAAATAAATGCACATAAATTTTGGATTCCAATTAAAGTTTTTTCACTTTATGCGACAGAAAAGTTCTAGAGTTCATTATAAATAACCAGGTTTGTGTTTGCACTAAATGTTTAATTTTAATCCACTATAGAGATGTGACTGTGTTGCATGCACAGACGTGTGCTTCCTAACCCTGCTCCTGAGACACAGCATCAGCACAGGTCTGTGTCAGCAGCGGACCCTGTGCTAGCGCGGGAGTGTGTCGCGGCTCAGGCTGCTCAGCGCAGTGTTGGCTGTGCTCAGGGGCAGCTGCAGCTTGCCCATCTGTGTGGGGTACTTGGTCTTCATCTGGTGTGTGAACACTGGCTGCGCGATCAGCTGCTTGAGCTGCTTCTTCAGGCTCCTGATTAACCTCTGCTGCTCTCGCTCCTCGTCCTCGTCCTCACCGCCTCCTGAAACACAGAGCAGAGCACATGAGGCAGAGCTCCCGCTCCAAACACGGCTCGGTGGCGCGGAGCGGCGCTCGTACCCAGCAGCAGGTCATCGTCCACGTCGATCTCCAGCGCCTCGGACGCCTGCCGCACCCACGAGTTGTGCTGCTTCTCTCGGCTGTGGAAGTACTCCATCTTCTCGATCTTCCGGGCCAGAGTCACGCGCTCCTGTCGAGGAGAATCAAGCCTGTGAAGCGCAGCACTGCTGGATATCCTTATAGTCATCAGCACTGAGAAAGCTCTCAGACAATTCAGAGATTATGAGCGTCTTATTTGTGAGCCTGGAGCACAAAAGCAGCAAGTGTGAACACACCCTTAGATTAGCAGCAGTGAGTTAAAGAGGGCAAACATTAGCATTTCAATGAGCTGCACACGTGCATTTCTAACACTAATGCTGTTTTTGCTCTTTACATTTCAATAAAGAAAGTATTAATAACAATAAATGAATGAGTGGGGTTACTTTAACTGCTCAGGTAATGACTCATTTCAGATGTGGGCAGAAATAGAAATTAAGATCAGCCAGAGCTGTAGAGGGATCAGGAGTGGAGGACGCTCTAGTAAAGTTATCAGCATTAACTCGGGTAAGCGTTCATCAGCACACACTGACCGGTGAAGCGGGCCACAGCGTCGATGTGGTGTTTGACCTGCACGGCCAGCTCTCTGGTGGGAGTGAGGACCAGGCCGAGCAGCGGCGGCTTGTGTGTGTCCGTCTGTGTTTGACGAGCTGTAACATCATCAGTCTCCTCCTGCTCCTCCTGCGGCTCAGTGTCTCCGCTCGTCTCCTCCGCTGGACTGCCGTCTGTCGTCTCGCTGACCGCGGGCAGGTACAGGCTCTCCACACACACCTCTGTGTCTTCAGCTCCGTCAGTCTTCCGCACACCTTCTGACGCTTTCCTCCACTCCAGAACAGTGTGGATCATCGGAATACCGAAACACAGCGTCTTCCCGCTGCCTGCAGACAACACACACACACACTGAATCACTGACTGTGCATGACACTAACGACCCACACCGTGACGAGTGTTGTTTCTTGCCATTTCTTTGTAATTATTTGTGACCCTGGAGCACAAAAGCAGTCATAAGTAGCACAGTTATATTTGTAGCAATAACCAACAATACATTGTATGGGTCAAAATTATTGATTTTTCTTTAGTGCCAAAAATCATTAGGATATTAAGTAAAGATCATGTTCTATGAAGATATTTTGTAAATTTCCTACCGTAAATATATCAAAACTTAATTTTTGATTAGTAATATGCATTGCTAAGAACTTCATTTGAACAACTTTAAAGATGATTTTCTCAATATTTAGATTTTTTTGCTCCCTCAGATTCCAGATTTTCAAATAGTTGTATCTCGGCCAAATATTGTCCTATCCTAACAAACCATACATCAATGGAAATATTATTTATTCAGCTTCCAGATGACGTATAAATCTCAATTTTGAAAAATTGACCCTTAAAGACTGGTTTTGTGCTCCAGGGTCACATATTTGAAGGAACAGCTTAAAGATGATGAGGACACCATTTTTTTTTTTATATTGTGCACTGATAAATCATAAGCACTGCAATATTTCATAAAAAGAGACCCGTTTCACAACAATTGACAACAGCAACCTAGAGAAGTGTTCCATATTTTCTTTTAAGTTAAATGTAGATGTGTAACGCTGTTTTTTCACCCTGCCATTAATAACAAATGAAGTAGTTAGCTCTGCTGTCTAACACACCAGCTGAGGGAGCGTTCCTCTCTTCTGACCGCTCTCATCAATCCATGCTCTCCTCTTTTGGAAAGTTATATAAATGCTTTAGTGGATTTTCTTTTTTCATTTGTTGTTGAGGCAAGTGGGAATATAAATATGATATTTATCATAACTTCCTCTTATAGACGTTAAGCCAACTTCAGTTTCTCTATTCCAGTAGAAACGCAGTGGCTGATGACAGACGTGTGTGAAAGCATGTTCATATCCAGACACATATCTCGGCAGGTGTTTTAACGCCATGCCATCTTCCTCTGCTATCTTCATGGCTAGGAACAATTAAAATACTATTAAAGAGCCATTTAAAAACATATATCAGGTTTTTAACGTTTGTTTCAGGTAAAAACACTTTGCGGTATCATATGATTCCCTAAGAGAACCTAACCAGCACAATATAATAAAACACGAGTCTGGAGATACTGAGGAGCATAACGTGTGTGTGATTCTGGAATATCTGTATATATATGATCTGATCCCTGTGAATACTGAAATACAGACGTGACTTTCATCCACAGTGGGGTTCATGTCATACAGTTTGTTCACAACAAGAACAATAGCTATAAACACAACTACAATGATAACTATACCAGCGACGATATGGTTCTGTTTATTATAATCGTGCTGCAACTTTAAATGCTGGAGCTCTTCAGAGCAGGATTCTGATTGGCTGTCAGTGTTCTTATTGTTCGTCAGATGAAATAACCCTCTGGAAGCCGCTACAGCTGTGGTGTGGACTCATGATTCGAGCGGTTGTTGTACCTTGATGGCGCTCATGCAGTGGCTCTGCACGGGAAACACAGGCAGCTCCTCGCTCTTCTGCAGGGTTCTGCAGATCTTCTTGTAGTTCATCAGGTCGTCAGGCCCGATCAGCAGCAGACTCAGGCCCTCTCTGGCGGCGCGGGCGGTTCGGCCGCTGCGGTGGACGTACGTCTCAGACGTGCGAGGAACCTGAACCCGACAGAGACACAGAGCTGCTGAGACGCTCCTGAACTCCGAGCGACTGACCGAAGCGGAGTCTCTTACCTGATAGTGTATGACATGCTGAACGTTAGGGATGTCCAGGCCTCGAGCAGCGACGTCAGTGGTGAGGAGAACACAGCTGAGAGAGGACAGAGAGGACAGGAGTCAGTGCACGCACACACACACACTCACACATCATTACATCTACCTGCGTAACCATCAGCTCTGGACATACGGCCACTGCAGACTAAAACATACCTCTCAAAGTAATAATGATTACATTTTTAACCGGGATTTGTTTTTATTCATGTTTTCATTTATACAGTTCAGTTGTGCAGCATCTTATTTGACAAAGAAACAAATAAAACTGCAAGACTTTGTTGTAGACTGTTATATGTTCATTTGAGTACATTTTAAAAGATTGATTAAATTGTTAAAGTTTTATTATAAAACAGATAGTTCCGGTCCTTGATTCTGATTGGCTGAGCTGCGTTCGAAGCTGTTGTAAATTACTCTACAAAGTAACATACACCTTTGTTTACGTTTGTGTGTTGCTCGGCAACCACTTTGTAGCAACCACAACTGTTTCTGAGGAACTACATTGTTTGGTGGAAGAATACTGTTTTTATTAATATCATTACACTTTATTTGCTCTGTTTTATTTTGTGAAACCTTACTACGTATATGGAATAACCGTTTTATAAAAGCAATAATCCCCGTGAAGCCGTGGTTTACAGTGAATTTATAACAGCTAATGGGGTTTTCTCCGCTTCATGTCATACCTAACAACGCCCCTTAGCTGTTATAAATTCACTGTAAACCACGGCTTCACGGGGCTTATTGCTTTATTAATTCATTCCTATAGACACCATTTTTTGATGCCAAATTTGGTTAAAGTCATAAAACACAGAATTCTGAAAAATTAAATGCATTTCATGGGCCCTAAATTAAAAAGTATCTTACTCTGTGGTGCGGTTCTGTAGTCAACGTGAAGAGGCTTAGTCCACTAAAATGTTGTTAGTCGGTTAGTCGCAGTGAAACTACTTGCCTCACAGACATGAGGAATATATCTACAGGAAGCTTGAAATGAACCAGCCGGTATTGAAAACAAAAACTCTCTGATCATGTAATCCGTACGAAAGGTGCGTCACTGCACTGCGGTTATGGCGAGTCAGCATCATCGACTTCATCTCTTCAGCTGACAATGACTCAGAAAACTAGTTAAATCATTCAATCATGTCCTTGCTATTTTTCCAAACACACAGTCGTTACTTTTGTGACAAGCTTCATGCATGTGTCTAATTACTGTAAACGTGCAATTAGTCAACTAATCACATGTTTAGTCAAATACTAGTCAACTAGAAAACCGTTTAGTCAGGAGCAGCCCTTCTGTGGTGTTTAATGTGAACAAACTAGTTATGTTTTACATTTCCTATTAGTAGTAAATCATCATCATGACAAGTACAGATAGCGTATGATATGGAATAATATCTTGGACTGCACACCCAGCACACACTCTCCCTCACCTGTCCTTCTCAGCGAAGCGCTCCAGGTTCTTCAGACGCTGCTTCTGGTGCATGTTAGCGTGCAGCGGCAGAGGAGCGCAGTCCAGGATCAGCAGCAGCGCGCTCAGACGCTTGATGCAGTCGATGCTGTTGGCGAACACCATGCTGCGGCCGGGATACTGCAGGAGGAAGTAGTACAGGAACAGGTCCTTCTCCTCCTTGGTGCAGTTGATGCGGGTCTCCGTCAGCGTCTCCACCGTGGCCTGCTTGCGCGTCAGGTCGATGACTTTGGGCTTGTCTTTGATGCCCACCTTCTCCATCAGGAGCTGCAGTCTGCTGCGCTCGGTGCGCTTGCGCTTCTTCTGCTGCAGGCGCGCCGGCAGGCTGTGCTCCAGCGTCAGCGTGGCCGAGAACACGAACGTCTGTCTGCTGGGGTTGAACTGGGACGTGTTGAGCATCTCCAGCAGGTTCTCCAGCTCCGCGAAGTGGCCCTTCTCCACCATGCGGTCGGCCTCGTCGATCACCAGACACCTGAGGAGATAAAGCAGAGCGGCTCAGCGTGTGAAGGCAGTGGTGTGCGTGACGGAGAGGAGGGACGCACCGCAGCTGGCGCAGGTTCTGCAGGTGCGGGTGTTTCTCTCGGATCATCTCCCACAGGCGTCCCGGTGTGCCGATGACGATCTCCGGCCGGTGCATCAGCACACGATGCTGTTTCTGCGGAGCCATCCCGCCAACCACGATCGCCGTCTTAACACCTGCGCAACGACACGTCAACAGGTCAACCACACTGATCTACATGATCAGAATCAGGCACATCACGAGCATCAGATGAACAGAACACGGCTAAAACACATCTTCTGCTTTCAGACGCTTCTCAGTCAATCTGGAGACAATGGTGTAAGAGTTCGTTTAATAGCACAAGTAGTGTGTACAGGTCATTTTCTGTCACTGAATATTATGTAAAGAAAAGAGTACAGGTTTGAGGTTTAGTGGGGATAGAAGCAAAGTTTCATAAAAGCACTTCGTTTAGTGTTGATATTTCAGGGAACAGTTTTCCTCATTCTTTCAGGCTGTGTTCACACTCTGGTGCGACTGCTCATGTAATCAGTGCGAACGCTGCCATTCAAGCCTTAGAGCAACACCAAACCGAGACCCAGCTTTTCAGACTCTGGAGTGCTTCAACTTCTGTATGAATGAAACACGGACCAAAGACATCGAAACAAACCAAAAACAGGATGTGACCGTATACAGATCTTTTGTGTCAGTGTTAAGAATGACAGTGTGAACACTAAACGAACCAAGAGCAAGAGAACCGAACTACAAGTGTGAACACACCCTTAGATTAGCAGCAGTGAGTTAAAGAGGGCAAACGTTAGCATTTCAATGAGCTGCACACGTGCATTTCTAACACTAATGCTGTTTTTGCTCTTTGCATTTCAATAAAGAAAGTATTAATAACAATAAATGAATGAGTGGGGTTACTTTAACTGCTCAGGTAATGACTCAGTTAATGGCAGAAATAGAAATTAAGATCAGCCAGAGCTGTAGAGGGATCAGGAGTGGAGGACGCGTAAAGTTATTTATCAGCATTAACTCGGGTAAGTGTGTGAGAGTGGGTGTGTGTCAGTGTGTGCGTGCGTGTTGTGTGTGAGCGTGTGTGTGAGTGTGTGTGTGTCAGTGTGTGCGTGCGAGTGTGTGTGAGCGTGTGTGTGTGAGCGTGTGTGTGTGTACGTGTGAGTGTGTGTGTGAACGTGTGAGTGAGTGTGTGTGTGTGAGAGTGTGTGTGTGTCAGTGTGTGCGTGCGTGTTGTGTGTGAGCGTGTGTGTGAGTGTGTGTAAGTGTGTGTGTGTGTGTGTGTGTGTACGTGTGAGTGAGTGTGTGTGTGAGAGTGTGTGTGTGTCAGTGTGTGCGTGCGTGTTGTGTGTGAGCGTGTGTGTGAGTGTGTGTAAGTGTGTGTGTGTGTGTGTGTGATCAGTTCTAGTAATAGTGGAGTTTCTGATGGACGATGCCAGTATCTTAGAGAGCACAGATGGCTGATATAAAGCAGATATAATAAGTCTATGTAATATCACAGTATTTAACTAAACCATAGTAAATATCAAATGCATAATTACTGCAAAGAAATTTACTACTTAAACATACAACTTACTAAAATAATTAGAAATAAATAATTTGGACAATCAATTAAAAAAAATAACAAATTACACTTGGTTAAAAAACAACAAAAAAAAAACTGTAAAATAGATTTACACCTTACATGGCAGTCATTGTGCGTCAAAAAACTCCCTCGGCTACAATTTTTAGTTTAGGTTTTTTTCTCTCTCTCAAATAAAAACAAACATAAATAGTAAAAGAAAATCTATTAAATGCCACAGATAAATATTTACTGAGTAATCCACTATTTAGTAGAGAAGAGTCAAAATGACCATTTTCACACTCAGACTGGTTTATTCTATGCTAACAAGACACATTTCTAGTTTTAACATTATTTGTTCATCAGACATTGCTCTTCAAATGAAAAAGTATCAGCTGTATGCAAAGTGACCACGTTTGGTTTGACCACTAAAAAGGTGTACAATTTATTACTTTACTCATGCAGTCACACTGAAATCCCTATACCTCTGGAACTGAATGATATAATGCATTAAAAATCAAAATACCAAAAGCATTCATTAGAACCAGAATCTAAAAGGATACTAAGATGAACACTTTTCATTTTTGGACTGTCACCATTAATGCACAATGCTTGTTGCAACACAGATAGCTAAAGTCAACAGATTCTACTAACAGAGCTGCCGATCTCTGTGTGAAAAGAGTTCAGCTCCGACACTAAACAATCACACCTGAACCAGCTAGTCAAGCTCTTACTAGATAGACTAGAGCGGCAGCTGAACTCTGCAGGACCCAGTTTGGTGACCCCTGATCTACAAAATACTGGATTACTGAGTATATATACATCTGTGACATTCAATATTTTGGCTTCATTTATGTATTTCTTTCACCAGAAAAAAAGGATCCCTGTCTGAGTCGAGACAGAATGAGCAGAAGCTCTTGAAGCAGTCCTCGGGTCTCAGTGAACAGACCGCAGAGAAGGAGCAGCACAGGAGCTAGTGTGGTCTCTCACCGGTCTCCGCCGCTCCCACGATGTCCAGTCGGTCTCTGACGGCCGGCGGCAGCGCCAGGGCCTGGATCGGAGTCGGCGCTGAAAACCCAAGTACACTCAGAGCTTTTAAAACAGGCTCAGGTACGAACAGGTCCTTCCACGCCGACACGTCTGCACTCGGACCCTCTGATCCCACGAGAGCCGGCCTGCTCCAGTTCTTGCTCTTCTTCCGAGACTGAGCTCCTGCCTCATCTGTCTTCTTCTTCTTCCGCTGCTGCTGCTTCTTCTTCTTCTTGGACGTCTTGTGCTGTGTCTCTGGAGTCACATCAGGACACTGGTCCGGTGAGATCTCATCCTCCGCTTCCAGCGTCTCATCAGGAACGTCCTGAGGTTCCTCCTCCGGGTTGCTTTTCTTCTGCCTCTTTTTCTTCTTTCTAGCAGGTTTTTCTTCCGCTTTTCTCTTCTTTCTGCCTCTGCTGGTGGTCTGGGCGTGCTCCTGCGCAGTCATGGCCTTCTCCGGCTCCACCAGGGAGTAATCGGTCAGCTCCTCGAAACACACCAGTCCATCCAGACCCTCATCACAGAACACACTGGGGTCCACATTCACCGCCTTCCACTGGCCCTTCACCACAACCCCTCTTTTGGAGGAGATCAGCCGAGACTTCTTGACCTTCATCTTCTGCTGGAGAGACACAGATGTACAGTGTGGAGTCACACAGGACAGTAACTGAGGCACACTGATGGTAACACCATGGTATACTGCACACCATATTCATGTACATCGATATCTATATGTCAGCATAAAGACGCTTCCAAAAATATCACGACGTTACTATAATTCTGTGCAAAACACGGTGATATGATTGTGTTTATGGTGGCGCAGCGCAGTCACACAACTACAACAATCAACAACACGCACATAAACAGAGCGACGAACTAGTACATTAGACAAAAACCCACTCTGATAAAATATCATGTCAACACGAGTATTTTACAGCATTAACTGCGTGGATAAAGATAAATCTTACATACCGTCGTCTGTGTTTGACTACACAGCAGCCGCTCACGCACATGCACAGCACGAGGAGGCGGCCATGATGGCCATGACGTCAGAGAGAACCCACCAATCACAGAGACTGTCCGTGGCACGTGGAAGCACTCATATTTCTGAAGTTTTCCAATTCTATTATAATATATAGTACTTTTAGTGTAATAATAATAAACACAATAAAGGGTAATTTTTGAGTTTACTACAGGGGGCGTATACTGCATCTCCAAATTCATTGTTTAAATCTAACATAAATCCGTATTTCGTAATCACAGACGACTGTAATTGGTCCATCCTCAACAGCGATGAGAAAAGTAACAGCGCAGCGTCTGACTGGAGACATTTGCACGGATCTTTTAAATCTATTACATCCACCGTCTTCGACCTAAAATATAAACGGAAACCTGTTTCTGCAATCTTAATAAAATAACTGAATATATAATCCGAGTCGCCTGTGATTTCATCTGAAGAGCGCCGTCTACCGGCTGCTTCAGGAGCATCTACTGTGAAATAAAACACGTGATGCAGTAGTTAGTTAATAGTCCTGTACAGAACTATATGAGAGCATGCTTTAATTGTTTTATTTTATTATTATTTAGCAATTCAAGTGGGCTGTGTTCCAAAAACCACAATCTCAGCCTCAATAAAAGAAGCTCTGAGTTTTTGCGCAAGCACATACAAGCAACATCTACTTCATAATTCAACATTAAGAAAAGTTATCTTTGGGGGTAAATGTGTCTCCCTTGCCTTGGGATGGCTTGGAAGTCCAGTGGGAATTTATATGGACTAGATTATTGGGACACCTGACCATTAAACCAACAGGATCTCTAATGATCGCATTCTAAACTCACAGACATTAATATGGAGCTGGTCCCCCTGCAGCTATAGCAGCTTCTGTATGAGGATGTTAACAGTGACAGGATGGTTTACGGTGACAGAATGCAGATTTTAGGGCATGGTTTATGCAGGTGGACATGTGATTCTGGAGCAGTGCTGAAGTTTGCTGAAGACAGCGCTGTCGGATGTTTCTGTACCAGCAGGCGGGACTGAACGTCTAACCCAGGGGTCTCCAAACTCGATCCTGCAGAGTTCAGCTCCAACCCTAATCAAACACACCTGAAGCAGCAGATCAAGCTCTTACTAGATATACTAGACCCTTCCGGAGCAGGAGCGAGTGTGGAGACCCCCGGTCTAACCCTCAAACACTAAAGAGATGCTGACTGACTTCAGTAGAGGTGTGTGCCCTTCTCACCTGTGATCATCAGCGGGAATAAAGTAGACAGAGCGCAAACTATTTCTTCACTTTATTTCTTAGAATGTGATGTTCAGTGGTGCTACAATGTGCTTATCCACATAGTGTTCACTGAGTGCACTATTTGTGTGCTTTCAATTCAGTTCAGTTAGGTTTGGTAATGTTTTCTGTCTGAAGTATCGCTCCATTAGTGTGCAGACTCTCAGATGCGCGTCTTTGCTCAAACCCGTCAGGTTGGCTGAATGGAGGAAAAAACTTGCTCATGCAAGTCGTACGACTGCTCCATCTTGAACTTGGGCAGATGAACCCCATTTTTCTGAGAGACAGTACAACATGTATAAAAGTAAATCATGATGTTTTAACTAGAGGTTAAATAAAATATGAGCATTCATTTATTCTCCCGAAGGTCTTTTCCAATAACAGCAGCAGCTCATAGTGTGATGTTTGCGTCCTGCACTACAGTCTAATGATGCTTCGACTCTTTGAGATGACCTTATCTCATCAGTTTCATTCACTGATATGATGCTGCTGAGCTGAAAATGGAGCACACGGGAGAGTAAATGGTGACACTCACTAATAGTTTGCAAAGTAAAAAGAAGCAGCTCTGCACTGTACAGCCAGATGCACACTGTATGAATGATAACAGTACTTCATGATTTCTGCTCGTCAGACTGTATGAACATGATCCCAGCTGTAACCTCGTCACATCCACACGCAGAGCTGAAATGGTGACTAGTAAACAAAAACAATGTCTTCATGGCATGGCAAAGACGATGATTTGATGCCTCAAAACTTCCGACACTGGATGTACAATGAGCTTGCAGTGGTCATTATTTGGCTGTTGGTGCACATGTGGAACTAGCGAACAAAGACGACAGATTTTGGACTGGGATCAGAGCAGTCTTTGCAAACAGTACAGTGTGCACCCCGCTGAAGTCTGTGGCTCACAGCAGACCCCACCTATCTGAGGGTTGTCCCCCCTAAAAATATTATTAAAAACCACGCCGTGTATTGTAAATAACAATGTTTTATACTTTAAATAACTTTGTAAGTAGTAAAACAACACAAACGCAAACAGGGCAAAAAGGCTTTTTAAGTTTAGACACGTTTCGAGTCTCCCCTCTCTTGCCTCACAGTGCTCTGGTCCAAATGCCTGCTTTCCTCTTTTACATCACCTCAGTGTCGCCAGGTCCGAGGTTTTCTGGCTACTTTAACACTGTTGGCGACCAGAGGCCTCATGCCCAGTCGAAGTGAGGAGGAACCCTCTCAGATTTCTGAGCCAAGTGCATTTTGAATGCAGCTTCCAAAAGACAAAAATAGCCGAATAATATGTTTTATATTTGATACAATGGCACCGGTGTGATTATATCGTTCAGTGCAGCACAGCATCAGATCTGTGTTCGCTGACTGGCGCTGAGCCAGAGACAGACGGGTTGATACAGCACTGCGCATTAACCAATCACACGCGATGCTGAAAATGTTTTGAGGTTAATGTGTTACAAATAAATCAAGCATAAAGTCTGAGTTATTATTTTAACCTGGTGAAATGTAAATGACACAGGGCACGAAACTATATTAGTTTTTTTTTTTTTTATCCATCTAACCGGACCATAGAACGGGACTCTCAAAGCCTTGACATCGTATCCGGGAGA